GACATATACTTTGCAATTCATCTAAGTGTATGCTTTATCGGCGTGTTTGTTAACTAAAAAAAAGCATTGTTCGCCGCTAATACTGAGTAGATAGGCATCCTCATATCTTTACTCATATACTACTTTGCCTTAATAATGTGCACCTTAGGCACATATGGCGCAATGGTAGGAAATGCCTTCCTTACACAAGCTGTCGTTCGTTCGACCTCATAGTGAGTTCATTATGCTTTCCGTTTATCACGGTTGGCAAATTAGGAGTAAACTTGTCTGGCGTAAGTCATTGTATAGGCCAGATAGGCATTTATTCACCTCTATCGATGCTTATTGAAGTCACATATGTTGTGCATCTCCAGGAATTCATGAACACCGAAAAATTTATCCTTTAATCATTTGATGTACACCATATAATGTAAAACTCTCATCTACTTTGAAGAAGTTAGCCTACGCTAGCTGTCGGCTTGCCCAACTAACATAGCATGGAGCTGTTGCGAAGTACTCGTAATTACTTCTCCTCCACGGATACAATCTCTGTTGTACTACTTTGTATAAAATAAACTCGTATTAAAAACCTCGTGTGTGCTGAAGCAAAGAAAATCACGGATTATTTCACTCAATGCCGAGGTTAATCAATAGTCGGTCTTGGGAAGTACTTCTCCTCAAAGCATAAGTGAAAAGACAAGTAGAATTAGCAAGGACTAAGTTTGAGCCTTAATCGGTGTGGATGTGAATGGGGACTTTATTAAATGCCTGCCAGATGTATTTAATGATTAACACGTGCTTTATGTGATATATGATTACTTCTGTTTATTTTATTCTTAGCTGGTTTTGAATAGCAGCGGAAGAGATGAATAACCTTGACAGTATTTTCTCAGTAATATAGAGCTTCACTGCTCAATTATCACAGCGAAGGGTTTCAGTAGACCTCATTATATCATATTATACCTTTGTTTCGAGAATTTTATCAAGACCACGCTCAATTTTTTATAGATCCTTTCATTATTATTTGAGCCAACATGTCATGTGGTCTACTAAGGGTTCTAGTACAACCCGATGCACGTGTTTCGTCCCTACAGATTCGTCAGTCGGGCAGAACCCGTCGTCTTTCAATCTTTTTATTAGTCAGTTCTCTCGGGAGCCTGCTTTCTCTGCAGAGAGATATCGAAGACTAATGTTATACACTCTGTAAAATAAAGGATAAAGCTCTCGGCGTTGTCAATCCCTGAGGATGCGCCATGCATCGGTCTCCAATTTCTAACTCTGTTTGGGGTGATTGAATGCATATCTGCCCTTTACAATGACTCGCGGTGGCTCTCCTGCTTGACCGAGTCAGTGATGCTTATCCTCCCAGGCAGGTTTAAGGCCAGTCTGGTATCAATTTACCGACGCCAGAGGAATGGATGGCTTGGTGAGCTATGAGCGCGAGTCAAACCATTGACCTCGTGTGCGACGCAGGGCACCTCTAACCACTGCGCCACATGCGCTCTATACACTACATCAAGTGAAATTTTCACCTAACGCAGAGTGTTGCACACTCGATTGCTCTGCGACTGGTATTTTTATCATATTATGCCTTTGTTTCGAGCGTTTTGTTAAGACCACGCTCAAATTTCAATCGATCCTTTCATTATTATTTGAACCAGCATGTCATGTGGTCTACTAAGGGTTCTTGTACAATCCCATTCACGTGTTTCGTCCTTACAAACTCGTCAGTCGGGCAGAACCCGTCGTCTTTCAATCTTTTTATTAGTCAGTTCCCTCGGGAGCCTGCTCTCCCTGCAGAGAGATATCGAAGACGAATGTTTTACCTCTATATCAAGTTTCACCTAGCACAGAGTGTTGCACACTTGATTGCTCTTCGATTGGTATTTTTATCAAATCATGCCTTTGTTTCGAGTGTTTATTAAGACCACGCCCAAATTTCAATAGACCTCGTTACAGTTAAATTTCTTGTGTACAATCATAGAGGTTCTAGTGCCCGCATAATAATCATTTTGCTAGCCTTCACATAAGTAATTGTGTCTGTTGAGTTGTCACACGGCTTCTCCTTGAAGTTCTCACATTGTTCTTTGGTTAAATCATTCTCTAAGCGCGTGACATCACTTTATATGTGTTTGGCTAAAATGAAAGTGTTTATCGAGAAAGATTAAACAGGATCATCTGTTTTTCATTCCTAAACGATTAATTCTACGCGTTTGAGTTTTACGATTCTTCTCAGTACCAGCAACATGTTAGAGGAGTGTTAACAAAAACGTTCCTCTTTATTATCTTTTCTTCACTTTAAAAATGAAAGCGACTCTTGCGATGATACTAAAATTATGCTGAAATTTTTTTCAACGAATATAATGTTATTGTGACTAAGAAAAGCTCAAATTTTTTGCTAGTGCGAAGGACATTAAAGGCCGAATAGCGCATGATCAGAGATATCCTGAAAACACAAGTGATTACCTATTTAATCCCGAGTTTTAAGTATATTATTTTCCCAGTGGATAACAAAATTCAGGTGCTTTCGTCCTATTCGCACCCATATTCAGCCTCATCAGAAAATGCTTTTTTGCTTTTTTCAAAGTATCAGCAGTCAATCGTTAGCTTAAATCTCGAGAATTTCAAATGTGCATTATATTTTGAAAATGACCCGTTGACTGCGCTCTGACAGTTAGAATATGGTTATATTTCACACTCAAAATCTTTTTTGAAGGAGAAAGCTTTTCTCTTAGACTTCGAATACTATTTCGATAGCTTAAATCTTGGCAAATTCAATGGTTTTCTTGATTTCCAAATACCTTTTTTGCGCTGTAACATTAAAAATAAAATTGCATATCGTATGCGGCGCTCTTTTCTGCTCCGGTCTGTGGATGAGATTTCGCAACATTGGCACCAAGCTGTCCAGCTTGAAACATTACACGCATCCTGACCGACAAGATACGCGCTCCGAATGCGAAACTCAATCCTCTTTCCGCTGGAAACAACGTATCAAGAAACTTTTTTAAGAACCAAGCATACCATTAAAATTTTTGAGATTGTGCTATCGAATAGCTATTGAAAGTCTATAATAAAATCCGTGTCCAGCGAAAAATGCCTGAGTGTGGAAGAGAATTTCTTTTTATCGTCTGAATTTAGGAGAAAACTTCTTACAAAGCGAGTACACTTTTGAAATTTTCGAGATCAAGCCTTGGAACAAACTGAACCTTTAAAAAGGCAAAGGCGCGTCTTTTCTAAAGAGCTGAAAATGGGTGCGGATAGGGGAAAAGTACCAATACGTATTTTATTCCCAAGATCGATTAGCTTAGCATTGATCAGTAGTTCACAGCTTTTCCTTTATGAGTTGAACACGAAATTGTTATAATTCAATTTATCCAAAGCTTATGTGGTGATCATCTGGCTACGCTCCAAATGCGGCCGTTTTTGTTCTAGCAACCAAGTGCTTCGACAAATTGAGTATAGCGTTGTTAAAGTAATTGCTCATAATCGTTTATCTGAATTAGACAAATTCCTACTTCACGAACTTACTCGAATTCTTTGGCCTGTGTTGCTCTTATCTTTGATAAAGGAACACAGAGGTCATTAAATGTCTGCCTCAGTTCATTTGATAGAAAGGTCGCGTATCTCTATCAGGGCTAAAGAGTTGCTCGGGACGAAAAGAAATCTAACCCATGATTTCTAATGCGACGCACGTAACAAGATGAGTATAGAGTGTCAGCTGTAGAAGAGCTAAGCAGTGACATCTATATCAGCACAGGCAGAGAAATTGGTTGTAAGCAACACAGAAAAACGCAGTCTGAAGGCAGAACCGCTCTGCAACTAGGACTTCTGCAGAAATTTTGCTTTATAGACCACATCCATACCTTATCGAGGGTCATAGAAGCCTGTCGAAAACTTTACCTACGTCTGATTTCAACTTTTGTCTACATTGAAAAAGGATTTGCCAGCGTCGTAACGAACGCACTCCTATCAGTGTTCGTAAATAAAGAAGTGAACCTGTCCTATACAAAAATTGTGTCAGATTGTTGTTGGATCTGTGCTACGGTAATACAGCTTCTCTAACAATTCCTTACTGTGCCATAGACAAGAAGGCACCATACCACAAAAACTTGATACCCACTGCAGAGGATAATGAAGTCAATCGATTCGAACAATAAAGATGTGCGTAGTCGTGTAAATTCAAATCAAATCTACACCTTCTTGATATCATCGTTATCTTTTCAGGAACTAGCAAATATCAAAGGCGAAGCTAAACGAGCTCAAAGAAGCGTCTAAAAAGATAGGATTACGATGAAGAAGGCGAACACCCACTAAATCTTTGCTTTTATAACGAAATTTTATCGCAGTCTATCAAGAGTTCATGGTGCGTTGGTAAGTAGTCGAAAAGGATAGCTCTGTGATCACTAAGATAATCTCGCATATGTACGTTGAGTGTTTACGGACCACGAAGAATAAGACAAAGGAGGAACTAAAGTGAGGAAAAAAGTCCACATTCATATTCTCAACGACTAGAATCACCAATCAACTTGGAACTTGGAAATTTGCGCTCATCTCTTCGATTCAACAGTCATCTCAGCGTTCTTCTGTGCGGCAAGGAAGCAGGCTAAATATTTCGGCCGCGTCAAAAATATTGCTCACTTCTTGCAGGGTCCCTTGGAGAGTTCCTTCTAAAGTATTATCGGCACAAATACCACTTAGTCGGAATAAAAAGCTTTGATGTTTGAAATTTATCACTTCGAGACATAGGAGAAGACAATCAGTAGTGAAACGAAGATGGACCGCACTTAATGAGAAGAGCAAACAACAGCCTGACGAAAACGGCTGTATCGAACCTACTTGCGAACATTTTCTCGGACGAGCGTGGAAACGTTGAGTGGACCTGGTTGCAACTGTGCTAAATTCAACATTACTTCAAACAGGGCTTTGGATCAAGTATCTGAATTCGTTTTATTTGACCGCGTATTGCGGTGGTATGATGTTGCAATAAACCTAACATTGTAGAGCGGTATGCAAAAATATTTGCGTCAGCCAGTGGTGCAACGGTTCAGCACGCGCCCCCGAGAGAGTGAGATCTGGGTACGAATCCCGGTTGACGCAAATATTTCTGCACACCACTTTACAAAATTGGGTTTATTGCAACACCAAGTATTTGAATAAGTGAACTACTATGTGAAAGAGTGCTGCAGTGACGAGTTCAATGTTCAACTTATGAGAAATTGTCCTTGTTGCCTTTTGTAATAGAGGTATGGCACTTTGTTATTCATGAAAAGTAAATAAAAAGCAATCTAAAAATAAGCAATACTCTGCTGCAGATATTTAGGTGGACGTTCCGTTACTGAAGAACCCTGGCCGAGTGGTTGTGGTGCTTGTCATGGCGCCGTGGCCGAACCCTATTTTCCCCACGCAACGCTGTCGAGATATTAACAAGGAGCGCCCCGTAGAATGCCACAACCAGGCTATCCTCGAGATTGCAAAGAGGTGCGCTCAACCAGTATTCTACGACGTTCAAGAAGAAGACAAAAGAACGAGTTGAATGCTAGAAGTTCTGGGATGCGCATAGTGAAAAATTTTATGAAGGCATCAATAAAGTAAAGTGAAAATAAATCTGTTATCTGCTGCGCACATGTAAATCGACAAATGCTTTGAGTTGTAGATTGACAAGACATTTGTCTCCATAGACTTCCTTTCAATCGATTGTTTTTAAACGTTGCTATAAATATTCGATATAGTCTGTGAGAATGTCCAAAGCCTTTTTGAAGTTGGTCCTTCAATACCTTGCGTACATTTCGACGGTATCACCCGCCTCATCGTAGACACATGCTCCACGCTAAATTTTACTCTATAGCAGGGATGGGAGACGTTACGGTCGTGTAATGTGTTACCATGCTTTACTCTTCTCCCGATCTTTAAAATAAAGTAATGTTCAATGTAGAACGTATGGCTCTATAAGGGACACGATGACGCCGAAACGTATGCAAGCTATTAACGTATCAACCTCGAAAAGACTTTAAACAACTTCACAGTCTTCCATTATTACTCTCTAATGTTTATGTGAACCTATTGGAAAGCGCTTACAGCATAAAAAGGCCGTATAGCTAAATAGTAAGACTTCTAGACGTTTTATTAATCCTTCTTTACACTGTTTTTCTCACTGTGCGGATTCCAGTACCTCTAGCAACCGGTTCGTTTTTTCGTCTTCTTCTCAATAGAATACTGGCTGAGCGAGTCTCCTTGCAACCTCGAGAACAGCCTGGGTGTGACGTTCCACAAGGCGTTGTTTTTCATTGCCGGAGAGGATTGGGGGGTGGAGCTCGGCTCCAATCGCGCCGCCACGAACATCACAACCACCCGGCTACAGGTGCCCCAGAATAGTAAAAACGTCTTGGTTGATACTACCCTTCCTCTCAATCGTCACAATCAAAATGTGCACTTTTCAAAAGCTTGTTCCGAATGTCCATCAATGCATGCACAGGAAAAGAACGTAAAAAATTGTGAACTTGAGAAGCAAAATAGCCATTTATATGGCTACGTTATTGCGTGTGTTTTAGTGTGCCCAAGTTTTCTTCTGCTGGAGATACAGGAATTTCTAGGGACAGACTTTGAGGAATACTGCCGCTGAAAGACGATAAATTTAGAGAAACAAAATATCGTTTATTTCTAGCAAGGCGCGTCCAGTTATCAAGCTTTGCTCTAAAAGGGTAGGCCCAAAAAAATTGGTAGCAATGATTGAGGGACGTACCATCAAATAATCTAAGGCGTCAGTTCACATACACTTATGTGGCAGTTTATGGGAACACAAAATCGTATAATTTGCTTCTGGCGCTAGAGGAGGGCGTTTATATAGGTTTGGGTGGAAGATGCAAAATCTTTTGTGAATTATGTGGGACCGAATAGATTGACGAAACGGGTAGACCACCCCAGGTCCGTATAAAAGAGCACCCAATTGACAACTTGAATTGGAGCGAAGCAAAGCATTCCACAACGTACACATAGGGGGAAATAACACTACAAAGATTTTGACGTAAAGGTTAGTATCTTCGCCTGGGAATATAGGAAAAATCTACGCGGGGAACCCTTGAAACACTTTGAATAAACTCCAGAAATTTCAAAATAAACTTAACAGACGAGTGACTTGTAATCATCTATGACTTCAAGCCACAGCTCAAGCTAATTTTTTCTAAGCTAAGCCAGCCACAATCGTAATCCTTTTTGTGTGGCTGATCTCTAACAAACAACGGGAAAATTTAAGAAGAGTAAAACGGTGAGCTCTTTAGCCATGCCGACGTTTAGAGATAGTCGAACTTTTGAGCTAATACAAAACGGTGAGCGTTTCCAAGAAGCGCGCACTTTGTGATCAGAAAATTAGTGTGCCAAGTTCTCTTCTGCTGAAGATATGAAAGTATTTGCCAGGGTAGACTGCACCGAAACGTTGACCGTTAATATTGTACCGCATTGTAGCCAATAAATCCTCCTATCAACAACGTCATACCAGATCTTCAATAAAAGCGCTGAAAGCATTTTTTGAACTGTCTAGCTCACTATGTGAAAAATCTCGGCTTTGGTGATAAATTTCTGTGCGAAAGCTTTTTACCGTCTTAGCCTTGGTGAATAAAAAAAGAAAGTCATAAATTTTTACATGCATAGAATAGACCAGAATCGATTGTGCTTCCGTCTGCAGTATCACTTTTCAATGAAAGTGTAACCAGAACGTCGTCATCGTTTTCTATATTGGTTATTTCATTTTATTTTCCGTTTTTCTCTTTATTCACAGTCTATCAATATTATCTTCATCGATTTCATTCTAAACTGTTGTTTCGATCTCGCGCTTTGAATTGAAAGCTCTCCATTTCTCAAATCTCGCATAGCCACAAATCATTGCGCAGACCAAATGTACAATATAATTTGCTAAGCGCCGAATATTTTGTCCTTCTAACCTTTATGTTTCACGTGTTATTAATCGTGCTCGGTTCATTATTTAGCATCGCTGCTCCACTTTATTACGTGGTTTTTTTTCAGAGTTACATATGATGAACGTTACCACACCAAAAGTAACACGCTGTTTCTCTGATGACATGCTGCTTCTAATGACAAACGTCGAAAAACGAATGCATCAGGTTGGAACAAGTTTGACAAAGAGATAGAAGTCACAAGAGTTTTCGTAGAAATTTCAAATTGCTAGAAGTCATTAATTAAAGGGCCACTACCATTCCTTCATTCACCTGATATAAGAAGAGGTGCAGTTGCTTCGGTGCTATATCGTCTAGCATAGGCGGCACTTACCCACATATCCTTTTTATACTCCAGTTGACAGTTATTTCTTTTATTAACGCTAGTTCAACAAAACCGTCACCGCATGTCTAGACATTAGTACTGAATTGAGTTTGAGTTCAAAGGTAAGCTTGTTTTTTTGCTTTTGCTAAACAATAAAACATGGGAACTGCAATGAAGCCGAGGAAACTCATTCAAGGTGCTATTCTTTCTGTAAGACATGGAAACTATTGGGCAGCATGCTGTGGTCAAAATGTGGTCATCTGCTGTAAGAAAAGCTGATAGCTTATACTGAGATGTTGAAGAATGAGTGGTCAGGCAAATGTGCCTCAGTGGTGTAGTGGTAGAGCACGCGTCCCCGGATAGGATGAAACGTGGGTTCGATTCCCGCCTGAGGTCGTGTTTTTGCTCACCACTCAATTCTCTTACGAATATACAAAACATCATAACAGTGCGAAATGCACTAAAAATACTATCAATATCGAGTATTTGTAAAAAAAGCTTTCGTATATCGTTATATGCTTATGGTTGTCCTTGTTGAGTAACAGAATCTTACCGCTGTAAAGACTGACCAAGATTTGCTCTTACTGAAATTGCGTCTACTATGGTAATAACGACTGACTGAACCAATTACTCAGCGATCGCCACCATGATGAGAAATTTTCAGACCTTGTGTTAAAATTTTGATACCTTTTTTCACGACAACAGCGTGATTTTGAGGTGCTATCTATATATAAAAATTTCAAGTAGCTTTTGAGATTATTACTTTTGACAAAGGGAGGAGGAATGGGACGAGAGCGAATGTAGCACTCTCTGTGCACACGCTATTCTATGGCTGAGATGATTTATGGGGGGGCTGTGTGAATTGTGTGGTTATAAAAAATATAGTGGAATAGATGCAACACAAGCCGCAAAATTATTCTAGAAAGAATGATATCCATATCATTTATGCACATAGAGCGATAGGAGAGCGCCTCGTTTCCAATCTTCTCTCATTCATAACCGTCTCTTTTAGTAATCGAAAGAATACTGTTTACGGGTCAAAAATATGTGTGTTGGCGAAAGCACGCAAATTACTTGTATTCGCGTTGGAGCAAACAGGAAAAAAAACAGCGCGGTACGTTTTGGGTTAATATGCCACAATCACTTGCTTTAGATCACTCATCGAATATAGGGACAATAACAGCTAATTACAATCCTGCAGAGTAGTTCCAGCATTCTGCAGTCTAAATAAAGTACTATGAGAGCAAAGATTTTATTTTTTAGTGATAGCGTAGAATCGATTCAGTTGAGAAGTCGAACAATTCCTGAAAATGAGGCAAAAAAGCATGAATAATAATTCATTTTGCTATTTTTCGTCTGAACACGAAAAGCAATCCATCCTTAGCAGAGATCAAATCCAGTGGGATTGTCGAATATGGCAGCTTTACAACTCTTCTGAAACTTCCAGAAGAAAAAAAAACGCAACACCTTCCTCTTGTCATCATCTGATAGTTTTAAATGTTAAATGAATGTTAACGTTAAATGAATGTGCACGAGCTCTGGAACACGGTGTTCAGAGTTGTTATGAAATCCTAACACTCATTACAATTAGCAAAGTCGTTTGCCTCCACTTAATCTCACAAATAGCGTTGAACACGAACTATAGCAAAATAGAAGCAATATTAGATTGATTCGCTTATTGGCCTATCATTAATGATGCTGACTCGTGTACACGTTGTGTTTCTAGAATGTATTCTTGAGCATTCAAATCGCCTTTTTAGATGGTATTCTTGAATCATTATTTGAGGTATTTCTTTCTGTTTCAAGTTCTCTGTGCTGCCATAGGA